TTTTACCAGTAGAAATTCAAAGAAGACATTTATGATCTAATACTCCCTGGATGTCCCTACCCCCTTGAGCACTAAGCATATAACCACCAGCTCTATACAGCAAAAGTGCAGCCCTCTCTGCCCATGGGTCCGGTCCCCACGCTACTTAAATAAACTTACAAGTTGCATCAGACAACATCTCAAGAATTTTTTCTTGGCCATTACACTCAACAACCCCTCATTTCAGTCAACAGATTTTGTACCTGCCAGAAATAGGGGCACTTGGCTGGCTCAGTCAGTAAAGGACACAACTTTTAATCTCAGGGTTGTGAGTTCAAGTTCCACTCTGGGTGTGGAGCCTACCTAAAAAAAGGGGGGGGGGGATAATACGTGCCAGAAACAGGCAATTGGAAGACAAAATGGGAAACAAAGTCCATAAACAAGAACAGCCAAAATACTCTAGAATAAACATTTCTAAAAAATTGTCAAGCCTTTATGAAGAAACCTACAGAACTTTTATAGGAAGATATAATAAAGAATAAATAGAAAATCAACCTGTGTTCCTGGATGAGACAAAATATTGCAAATATATTAACTCTTTCCAATTTATTAAATTTAAAGCAATTCAAGCTACTGTCATTGAATCACTGTGATACCAGTGCAGAAGAGGACATGTTAATCAAATCTAAGATCCAATTAACAATGTTATAGAAGAATTTAGTTTATGGCAAAAGTGGACTTCAAATAAGTGGTTTGAAACAATTGGCAGTACATTTGGGAAAACATATATTTCTCTTGTGACCTCACAAGAGACACAAAAACAAATTACAGCTGGATTAAATATTTAAACATTAAAACAAACAAAAGTAACACGAAAATAAAAGAAATATTTTCATATGGGAATAGGAAAGGAAGCCTTGCCTAACATGCCACTAAGTTCCATCATCATAATAAAAAGCAGGGACACGGTTAACTAAGTCAGAAACAAAAACATCTGCAAAAGAATAGGCACCAGAAGGAAAAAGAAAATGATAAACTTCAGAGGAAAATATTTGAAATATATGTGATAGTCAAAGAAAACAGTATATTAATTTATTTTTGTTTTGTTTTGTTTTTTACATTTTTATTTATTTATTCCTGAGAGACACAGAGAGGCAGAAACATAGGTAAAGGAAGAAGCAGGCTCCCTCTGGGGAGCCTGATGTGGGACTAGATCCAGGGCCCTGGGATCATGACTTGAGCCGAAGGCAGACGCTCCACCACTGAGCCACCTAGGTGCCCCAGTATATTAATTTTAAAACAAGACAAAAAACAGATTTCGGAAAAAGTAGTATGCATGTATCTGTTAATATAAAAATGTATCAAGACAGTCAAATATAAGTTAAACTACTACTATTACTATTCTTAGTGAGTTTTTTATAGGTCGGTAAAAATAGAGAGGCTTTTACTGCTGTATTGTTTGAATTATTACAGTGATTACATGCTGTAAGAAAAAAATATATGCATATTCTCATTTTGAAGAACAACAGTAAGTAAAACAGGAGTCCTTCAGAAGAGAACTTCAATACTGAATAAGTAGCATCCTGAATCAATGAGTACCTGATGCTCTCCAGCTTGTGGAATATTTACAAAGTCTTCAGTGACCTAAGAAACTGGATGACTCAAATAGTAGTGACTTTCTGGTCTGGGGAGCTAACCTGAAAAAATCTAGCAGTAGATTCGCTAGTCAGTGAAAGTAGTCATAAAGCCAAAACCCTGTGTTAAAAGAAATGGACAATAGTGAACGTCCCATTTCTCCTTCCCACAGACCCAGCTTCTCACCACTCATCCTGCTTCGCCCTCAAGGTTTTGTCAAACTATCAAGGGAGAGATAAAAATGCCTGTGGTATTTTATACTACCTGCTGCAGGTTTTCATTATGATTCTCTGCATAAAAATAGAGAACAAAGAAAATGGAGGACGAAGAGGGACAGAGGTGGAAAAGCAGGCAAAGAAGGAAAAGATTCTCTGCTCTTAAAGTTTCAAAACAGGTTCTGGAAAGTCCCTGAAGCATATGAAAAGAAAAGGTTTGGGAGAGCAGAAGCCAACATTAACGCCATAAATTGGGAAGAATGCCTGGGGTAGTATTAGGTTCCCTACCTAGAGGTTAGAGGCACTGGCGTATCCACAGGCTTGAGGAGGACAGGGTCGTTAGTCACAGTCCTCGCTGGAAGGTGAGGAGTGATAGAGTGTGGTAATGAGAAGACTCTCAGTTAATTGGGAACCCAAAGAGTTGCTGCCCAGGTGAGATAAGGTCTAAGAACTGCTCCCCACATGACAACAGAATGACAGCATGACAGAAGGGGTGGCACCACGGTGTGTTGGCCAGAGACCTGAGACAGCCTCTGGAGCCCCACACACACACCTCAAAATGGCATGAGGGAGCAAGGGAAAGTTTTCCTTCCCCCAAAAGGACTATAAGAGTGGCTGAGACAGAACCAGAGTGCCTAAAGGGGTCTTGAGTTTCCAAGTGGAGTATGTGAACTGATGACCAAAGACAGAAACAGGAGTGGCAGGTGCCACCTTGGAGGGATGGCAATCACGAATCAGATCTCCACCACCACCATGTCCCTTACACACACAGATGCCACTCCTACCCCACATAGAAGGAGGAAGGGGTAAATCCTGAGTTAACTGAGGAAACCTAGCATTGACTAGATTAAGCCTCAGATATCAGGTAAAACGGGGCTCAAAGACAGAGTGGTATAAAAAAAAAAAGATAGAGTGGTGCTATCACTTATGCTTTACATTTCTAGAAGTCTGACTATGTGGGCTGTGCAAAATGAACCCATCATACCTGCTTTACAGGATTGCTGTAACGTGGCAAGGTGAGACCAAGATGGGGGAGGCCCTAGATACATCATTCCAAGCATCAGATGCTTGTTATCATTACTACAGCTCATGATTTCTTTGCCCAATCTCTTTCAGTTCCACTAGTTACTAAACACAAGGGGTACTGCCATGTGGCCAAGTTTATTCAGCTTTATTTTTATCATTGGCAAGAAATATTCCAATGCATTACCTCAGAATTAACATATTTCACTTTCCCACGTATAAACAGTGTGACTAGTGTTTTTAATTCAATGACTCCTGTAACAAAAGACATTCTCTCTAAGCTGATAAGGCACACTGATTCAAGATTTCCTTTAGATAGGAGGATACATGATTCAACAAAGCATTTTTCACAGGAGTTACTGTCCAGACAAGTTCTGCGACCTGCTTGTCAAATCCAATTTGATTGCACTGGGTTAAAATGAACTCCATTGACTACCTGTCTCCACCTCTGCCAATCACCCAGCAGGACATCGATTGGTTTTCCTTTAGAGTTATACTACTGAGAGCAAGAAAGTAATTCTCATTTAATGTATTTATCACACTCAGGGTGCAACTGCTTATCTATAGTATGCTAAGTACTTTGCATAATTACTTAATTTAAACTTGAAGACTACACCCATTTTATAGATTAGGAAACTGAGTCTCAGAAAGGTTAAGTTACAATGAAGGTGCAGAATACCTGGCAGTGCCTATATTCAATCCAAGTTCGTCGGATTTCTTTTCACTCTACCACAACACCCTGCTGATGAAAATACATAAACTTATCTGAAGCTTATATATATATTTTTAAAGTTCTTGTCCAGGAACTCAAGACCTAGGATGACAAATCATTCTATCACTCCTACCCCTCTCCTTTCCTACCCACTCTGCCGCACACCTTTCCTCTGCCACACTACTCACACCCATTCCCTAAACCCACCTGCCTGCTCTCAAGCCTTTACAGAAGCTGTTCCCTCTGCTTAGGCTGTCCTCGCCTTCCTCCTCCCTTAGAGAAATTCCAACCCCTCCGAAGTCGGGGCGGGGGCGGGGGGGTGGGCAGCGACCGAGAAGGCTTTGCTCCCCTGCCTAGGAGAATGGGCTGCCTCCGCCCCAGCTTCTACCACTTAGTTTATCTTTCCGCGTGTCACTCATTGGAATCGGCGTCTGTCTTCACCTGCCTCTGTAGCCACTTCCAGAAAGAACCCCTCAGAGCCACACCTCGGGGCCTGCATCTTAGCATCCTCCCATGTGCGGGAGTTCAACAGCCGCTGGCTGAGTTAATGGATGAATTTTATTTTACTTTTCATGTTGTGGACTGAATCGTAGGCAGGTAGTCCTGTGAAGCAAACTGGCTCTCACCAAGTGACTTTAGGGATAAGCACGAAGGAGGAAGGTTTCACTCACCCAAGGCCAGTTTTGTTTTGTTTTGTTTTGTTACGAAACCCCGCCCCCGTCTCGGCAGAGGCTCCGCCCAGGCCAGGGATGGCCCCGCCTCCCGCCCCGCCAAGCAATCGCTCCTCGCGACTGCGCGAGCCCGCCCAGAGCCCCGCCCGAGCCCCGCCCGAGCCCCGCCCGAGCCCGCCGAGCCCCGCCCGAGCCCCGCCCGAGCCCCGCCCGAGCCCGCCCGAGCCCGCCAGAGCCCCGCCGAGCCCCGCCCAGAGCCCGCCCGAGCCCGCCCGAGCCCCGCCCAGAGCCCCGCCCGAGCCCGCCGAGCCCGCCCGAGCCCCGCCCAGAGCCCCGCCCGAGCCCGCCCGAGCCCGCCCAGAGCCCGCCGAGCCCGCCAGAGCCCCGCCCAGAGCCCCCCGAGCTCGCCAGAGCCCGCCGAGCCCGCCCAGAGCCCCGCCCGAGCCCGCCCAGAGCCCGCCCGAGCCCCGCCGAGCCCGCCAGAGCCCGCCGAGCCCCGCCCAGAGCCCCGCCCAGAGCCCCGCCGAGCCCCGCCAGAGCCCGCCCAGAGCCCCGCCCGAGCCCCGCCCAGAGCCCCGCCGAGCCCGCCCAGAGCCCTGCCCAGAGCCCGCCAGAGCCCTGCCAGAGCCCCGCCCGAGCCCCGCCCAGAGCCCCGCCCGAGCCCGCCCGAGCCCCGCCAGAGCCCGCCAGAGCCCGCCCAGTCGCCGCCCCGAGGCTGTGGCGGGCGGTTCAGGCCGGCGGGAACCTCTCCGCCGCGGGCCCGCCCGCCATGACGATCACCTACAGCTGTGTCGCTAATGGCCGAGCGGTCCTAGCGGAGCTGGCCCTGACCGGCGGCTCCTATCAGGTACCCGGGTCCGGACCTCCGCCCTGGCAGGCTCCGCCTCTTCGAGGGTGGTGCCTGCCGGGCCCGCCCCTCAGGACGCTGCGCCGCCCGGCGGTCGGGGCCGAGGCCGGCGTCTGGGAGCCGCGGCGGCCGCCCGGCGGCGGGTCTCGGGCGAGAGCCCCCGCGCTTCCGGATGGCGGGGCGCAGTGCGCCGCCTAGGGGTGCGGGGTGGTGGTGCGCGCGCCCCACTTGGCGGGCACGAGCCGCCGCGTGCAGCTGCGATTCCAGAGACGCTTGAAGATTTTCTCTCCCCGCGGAAAAATGACTTGCAGCTCAGCCCACATCCATCGCACATGTGTTAGTTGCATAGTCCCGGGGTAAAGGTGTAGGGGATGCAGCAGTGAAGAGAAGACGCGACCTTGATGAGCTCCTTGTCTCGTTAGGACCAGGGGCTATAGAATTTGTCCAACAGTGTGAAAGTCCTGCGGTGGAGACAGGTCGAGATTGCTCCTGCAGCTTCAGGATGGCGGCTGCTTGCGGACCACAGCAGGGCTGACTAGGGTGCTTGGCCTAGAAATCTTGCGAGAGTTAGCCTGAGACGGGAAAGGGAAACGGGAACTCGGTTCGGGTGGAACAGCACGGGGTGCTTGTTTGGGGAACCCCAAAACCTGAGCGTGGCGAGAGCGCAGGGTCGCGGTGCGGGGGGGGCTAAAGATGAGGTCAGGAAAGCGGACAGGGGGCAGTTAACGAAGGGTCGGCCCTGTATTGTGGTTCTTTTTATTGTAGGGAAACGGGGGAGCAATTAAATAGAGGAATAGCAGGATCTGATTCATCTTTGGAAAACTTGGTTTGGTTACAATATGGAAGGTGGAGTGGAGGGGAGAAAACCAGTTAGCATGGGTTGTCTAAAGAGCCTGAGCGAAGGGCGTGACGGCGCAGATGGGAAGGAGGGCGCGGATCCTAGAGAGACTGTAAAACTAAGGGAACTGGGCCATGCCTAGAATGGTTTTCAATTTTTTTCTTTTTTTAATTTTTTCCCCCAGGATTATTGAGACCTAATTCACATATGATGGTGTATGAGTTTAAGATGTACTACATGATGATTTATCAAGAATTTTTTTCAGGTGGCATTAAGCAAGACTGAAATTACAGAAGGAGGAGCAGGATTCTGAAGGAGGAAGTCAGAGGGAATGCAGGGGAGGAGCGTATAGTTTGAAACAGGTTGAATTTTGTTGCCTGTTGGAAGTGGCCAATCTAGTTGGGTATTTCTTCCTCCACCTTATTCCCAAAAGATTGAAGTCAAAAAATGTCCAACAGGTAGCACTCAGAGAGTCGTGGCTAACAGTTGAAGCTAGTAGAAGAAGGTAGAAAAGAAAAGTATGAAAGTGAGGAGAGAAGAGGACCAAAAGGCAGAACACTTCAGGAGCAGGATAGAGAAATGGGACACCAAATGAGAGCTGTGGGTCCGAAAAGCCAGAGAAGAAAGTTAAAGGAATGGTTTATGCCCCCAAAGAAGTTGAACAAGACTTAAAAAGTGCTCATTGGATCTCCAATTAGAAGATGATTGATGATTTTAGGATTAGCAGTTTGGAAAAAGCAGTAGAGGCAAAAGCCCCATTGCTTGAGGCCAACTGAATGGGAGATGAGGGAATAGGAAGAGTGGAGTTAGACATTCTCACAAGATTTTAGAAGGGAAGTGAGATAGAGTAAAAGCTGAAGAAGTATGGTCCAGGAAGGGGCCTCACTTTTTAAAACAGGAAAGACTTTCAATGTATGTGGGCTAATGGAAAGGAGAAAAGGTTCACGATAAAAGAGATGAGGTTATGGGTACAGTAAGACCTGAAGGAACAGAAGGAGTAGAATCCAGTGTAGCAGAGCTCCTGAGTTGCTCAGTTGGTTAAGCATCTGCCTTCAGCTCAGGTCATGATCCTGGGGTCCTGGGATTGAGCCTCGCATCAGGCTCCCTGCTCAGTGGGGTGCCTGCGTCTCCTCCCTCTCCCTCGGCTCATGCTCACTCTCTCTCTCTCTCTCTCTCTCTCTAGCTCTCTCAAATATAAATAAAATATTGAAATTAAGAAAAAAAAGGAATCCAGGGTAGCAGTGGAGATGTGAGTCTTGGGTTATAGGAATATCCTCTTTATCTCAGGGAATAGAAGAGTGTGGACATAGAGATATAGAACTTGGTCTCCTTCTGGGTTCTCCTCTTTGCCAGTCCCTAAGTGCTGTGTTCTTCAGGCTTCTGTCTTCACTACTCCTTTAACTTGTCACATTCATTCACATCCATGGACACCTTTACCTTGATCCACTTCCAAAGTAATCTCTCTCCACAGTTACATCGCCTAACAGAAGAAGTTCAAACATATCATGTCTGGAACTAATTAAATTTCCCAACAGCTTCCTCCTCATCTGTTTCTCATCTTGCTGAGTGGTTCTACTGAGCCGTTCAAGCTGGAAATGAGGAGGCATCTTCCACTTTCTCATCTTCTACACCTTCATATTTGTTCATTTGCCATCCAGTTCTATCAGTTCTGTCTCCTGCATAGGTGTTGAACACATCTTCTTGCTTCTGAACCTTCTAGGCCCTGATTACTTCCCGCCAGAGTTCTTGAAAATGCCTCCTAGACATGATCTCCCGAACTTCAGCCTTGTCCCTCTCAGAACCGGCCTAAAAGGAAGCATGATGTCACTCTCCTGCTTAAAAACATTTGGTGGTGCCTCATTACATTCAGAATAAAATCCATACTCATTAGCCTGGCATTCGAGACCCTCCTGGTAGGGCTTTTCCACAATTGTCTCCTTCTCTTCCCACACATCCTGGTGCTCCTCCAGCTACCCTGAACTTCACACTCATCTCACCAAGGTCTTTACACCTCCCATTCCCTCTCCATGGAACCCACTTTTCTAAATTTTAACAATATAACCTCTTCTGTGTTTTGTAACTTTTCTCAAAGCCTCCCTGAAGCCTTCTCTATGCTCAGGCTAATTTACATCCCTTTATCAAAGTACTTACGGGGCTGAATTGGAATCTTTTCTGATCCCTCGCTGCCATCAGACTCCTTCAGGGCAGGAACTGTCATCTCTGTCTTTGCAGTGTACAATGCCTAGTGTATAGTAGATTGTCAACAAACGGTTAAGAAGGGAGAAAAACAGAAAGCTGAAGCAGTTCACAAGCCCAGTGGCCTTTCTTTCTGAAGCATGCAGGGAAGTAAGAAAGTAGAAGGACCTGGAGCAGTATGCAGTTGGAGGAAAAGACGAAAGGTTTGGTAAAACTGCTGTGCAGAAGCTGACCAGTGAGAAGTAAAAGAATGACAAGGAGCTTTAAGGAACAGTTTGGGGTTTTTCTTAGATTTTTATTTATTTATTTGAGACAGAGAGAGAAAGCACAAGCAGGCAGAGAAGCAGGAGAGGGAGAAGCAGACTCCGTGCTGAGCAGGGAGCCCAATGCAGGCTCCATCCTAGGACCCCAAGATCATGAAGTGAGCCAAAGGCAGACACTTAACTGACTGAGCCACCCAGGCTATCGTGTCTTTCCTCTGGGCTAAGTATTAATGTCACAGATATTTTATATTCATTAGAAAAATATTAGTATCTACCAAAGCTTATTCATGAGATCAAATCCACTGCTATTATAGGGTCCTAGAGCTGGACAGGACCCTAAAGAGCATCTTGCCCAATCCTTACATTCTTCATACAAAACAGACCCAGACAAGTCACTTTTTTTTTTTTTTTTAGATTTTACTTATTTATTCATGAGAGACGCAGAGAGAGAGAGAGAGGCAGAGACACAGGCAAACGGAGAAGCAGGCTCCATGCAGGGAGCCGATGTAGTACTTGATCCCGGGTCTCCAGGATCACACCCTGGGCCGAAGGCAAGCACTAAACCGCTGAGCCACCCAGGGATCCCGACAAGTCGCTTTCTTAAGATGTGCAGCACATTAATTCCAGAAATAGAACTAGAGCCTAGTTTGCCACTGGTTTCACTGCTTCATGTTGCCATTCACTTTGTTTCAAATTTTGCTATGATTTCATTGTGTATATAATCCAAAAAGGACACTTGGTGAAAGCTAGGGGAATATGTTTCAGTGGTGATAATACAGTAATTGAAAGTTTATGTATTCCCTTTATTTTTGTGTTTCTTAGGAAATCTTTCCCTGGATTTTTCAGGCAATACCAAGAATTTCAAGTTTTACTTTCTCCTATTAATAAGTTTTACTCAAAAGCTTTTATTTGAAGTGTTATTTTGTGGAAATGGAAAAGTGAATTAGGAATGTGCCTATTTAGGGTGCTTGTGTGACTCAGTTGATTAAGCATCTGACTCTTGGTTTTAGCCCAGGTCATGAGCTCTCAGTTATGAGATCAACCCCGGTGTCAGGTTCCACACCCAATACAGTCTGCTTTTGATTCTTTCTCCTTCTCCCTCTGCCCCTCTCCACTTGTGTGCTTTCTCTCTTTCCCAGATGAAGGAGGGAGAGAGACATCATCTCATAAGTTGTGAGATCAACCCCCCCCACACCCCCACACCCCCACCCCCATGCTCTGAGCTCAGCAGGGCATCTGCTTGAGATTCTCTCCCTCTGCCTCTCCACCCACCCCACGTCTGCCCGTACATGTGTGCTCACTCTCTCTCTCTCTCTTTCTCTCACTGTCAAATAAATAAATCTTTAAAAAAAAAGAAGAAGAAAAAAATGAATGTGACTATTCAAGTCTTCCTAGGTAACTTTCAGGTTCCTTTCATACTTCTAAAGTAAATTAATAGGACTCCATACAATTAACTATATTTAAGATATTCTCGATAATCGTTGACATCTCGCACATTTTCCTCCAGAGAATGAGCCTGACAAGATACAGATAAAAGAGATCTTGACAATTCTGTTTCATAGAAAGAAATCAGTGAATAATACTGAATAAAAATTTGTATCTTAATCAAACTAAAGAAAGAAGAATGCAAAGAAAGAAAGAGAGAGAGAGAGAAAAGGGGGGAAGGGAAGAAAAGGAGGAAGGAAGAGAGGAAGAAAGAAAAAAGAGAAAGAAAGAAAAAAAGGAAAGGAAGGAAGCAAGAAAAAAAGGAAAAGAAAAAGGAAGGAAGGAAGAAAGAAAGATAAATGCTTGGGATATTCAGAGAATAAGAGTTGAATACTTTTTTTAAAATTGATTGATTGATTTTAGAAAGGGAGAGAAAGTACAGTTGGGGACAAAAAGAGAAGGAGAGAATCTCAAGCAGACTCCCTGCTAAGCATGGACCACCCCACCTTCCCATCCTCCAACACAAGCTTCAATCTCATGACCCTGAGATCATGATCTGAGCCAAAATCAAGAGTTAGACACTTAACCATGAGCCGCTCAGGTGCCCCAAGGGCTGAATACCTTTTTTTTTAATACTTTTAATCCATTAACATTTTTAGGATGTTTCTAGTCACTGAAAAGATATTTGATTAATAGTGCTTCCTAGCCTTAAAGCCATGTGTAAGATGTGACTCTAAGATTGATTAGTGCAACCTGTATTTGCGTATTATAAGTATACACAGAAGTATATGTATATTTGTATAATTTTAATATTTTCCTTCAGATTCAAATGAATATTTCATAACTTGCCTCTTACCACACATTCTGACTACCCATTAGTTCTAGTGAACACTTGTTCTTTAAAAAACCAATCAGACCATTAGTAAATTTAGGGAGAGGAAAAATTAAAGACGTTACAATGTTACACAAAATAAATGCTGATAATTTATTTTTAGGAAGCAGCAGCAGCAGTGCTTAGACTAGTGCTTCTTAGAGCTGAACCAAAGACCATCATTCAGATGGGAAGGTAAGGTATATTCTTATTTTTTTTAAGATTTTATTTATTTATGAAAGACACACAGAGAGAAAGAAAGAGACCTTGGCAGAGGGAGAAGCAGGCTCCATGCAGGAAGCCTGATGTGGGACTTGATCCTGGGACTCTGGCATCACACCCTGAGCCAAAGGCAGACACTTAACCACTGAGCCACCCAGGTGTCCTGGTAAGATATATTCTTATAAAAGTCTGCTTTTTAACAATAATAATGATGTGCAACATCAGTTGCACGTGCTCTCAGTTGAACCCTCAGAACGGAAAACTTCTGTATATAAAAGTGTAAGATCAAATGAGAGTGATTAATACCAAATTCAGCATAGTGGTTACCTCTGCAATGGGAAGGGAGAAAAATGAAGTTGGGGAAGACTATACATACAACATTAATTGTATCTGTAAGATTTTAACCAGATGGTGGGTCTAAGGTATTCTTGTTATCTTATTCTCCACTCTTTTTTAGTATGCCCAAAATATTTCACTAATAAAAAAAGAAAACTTCCATTTGAAAAATCTTTAATAAGACCATTCTAAGCTATACTTTGGACATTACATAGTATGGCCTAACCCAGTCTTGACAACATTTTGCTAGTAAAAGAAGAGGTGGGAAATAAGAGCATCTATTACTTTTAGACTCATCATTGTTTTTTTAAGAGTAAGTTTGTTTTAAGCTTTATATTGTAGAATAAAACAAAATATAAAAACTACATCAAGAGAAAATACAGCCTTATTAAGCTTTACAAGGGAACGTCCCCACCAACTGCAGCTACCACCTATGGCAAAAATATGGAATACTGCCAGCCATCCCCAAAACTCCCCGCCATGCATCCTGTCCCATCCACAGCTTCCTTCCTTTCCCCCAAATCAACCACCATTCCAACCCCTATAGTAGTGACTTACCCTGGGTCTTCACTGCCTCAGCACCTAAATATGCAACCTCAGACACAAGAGCCTAATCCTACCCAGTTTTTTTTTCGATCTCTTTAATCTATATTTCCTCCCTGCATCCTTTTCCTTTCCTTACAGTTCATCATTGAAGATCCTGTAGAGTGTAGAGTTTCTGGTTTCACTGATTGCATATTCAGAATGCATTTCACAATGTTTTAAGCAGCTGGATCCACAGGCTGGATCCCTTCGGCAAGACTCTGGGTGTTTTTTTCCATCAGATGGTACATGTTGTCTGCTTATATCTCCTTTTGACATGCTAAGAGCCAGTGGTATTCCTTGCCTGCACCATAGAGCCATTCATTTATTGGAGAGTGCAAAATGGTGATATTCTAGTTTGTTCCCTCTTATTAGCCAGCATGATTTCAAAAAGAGATGCTTTTCTCATCTACTATTTCCTTGCCTATATTGTGCATTCTAATTGAATCATTTGAAGACCTCTTCCTGAACTCCTGCTCCATATATCCAACTGCCTATTCTGCATCTCTTTTGGATGTCTGATGGGCATCTCAAACTCATGTCCAAAACCAAGCCTTCTCCTACAGTCTTCCACATACCACTTTTCCAGTTCCTCAGGCCTGAAACCTTTATTTTTTTTTCCTGAAACCTTTATGATCCTTGACTTTTGTCTCCTTGACATCTAAACCCAATCCATCAACAAATCGTGTTGCCCTTCCAAATATATCCAGAATCCGACTGCCTCTAGTACTACTATAGGAACCACACCATCATCATCTCCTGTCTAGGTTACTCCATACAAAGTTCGGTTCATTTCTGTAATTGTGGGTTTTTTTTTTTAAGGATTTCTCTCTTAAAATTTGATTTAATAGCATTTTATAATTATGCAAAACATGCATGTGGCTCCAAAGTCAAATTAAGAAAACAGGTTTTCTTTAAGAAGTCTAATTTTCATTCCTTTCCTCTCCACACTGTTCTCTCTTCCCCCTAGACAGGTTATCCTAGACAGATAACCATTTTAACAAAGTTTTCAGTTTGTCATTTTCTTTTTCTTTTATTTTCTATAAGAGACACATGCATATATGTGCATTTCCCTTCAGGGAGTATATGAGAATGATAGACAAATGGTAATACATCATACACACTTTTCCTCCTCTTGCTTTTGTTAGTTATGGTGTATCCTGGACATCAGGTATTCATGGTTTGTTTTTGTTTTTGTTTTTGTTTTTTCATTTTTAAAGGTAGTTTCTGAATGTTACTCACTAATAACATACTAAGCGTAAATGTAAAATATCTCTTCCCTCACACCCAATATCAATTTACTTCAAATCACATATATAATTTTTAGAGAGATGATAGAATTAGCAACTCATTTTCAACAAACATTCCTCCCAATTTAGAAATAAAAATATTGGGCAGCCCTGGTGGCTCAGCGGTTTAGCACCACCTTCAGCCTGGGACCTGATCCTGGAGACCTGGGATCGAGTCCCACGTTGGGCTCCCTGCATGGAGCCTGTTTCTCCCTCTGCCTGTCTCTCTCTCTCTCTCTCTCTCTCTCTCTCTCTCTGTCTCTCATGAATAAATAAATAAAAATCTTAAAAAAAAGAAAAATATTTTCCAAGTGGAGAGTATGTGTATGAATCAATATCATCATTAAAAATATTTGTAGGGACACCTGGGTGGCTCAGTGGTAATAATAAAATCTTAAAAAATATAAATATTTGTAGCATATTGTATTCATGATATGATATGAAGGATTTACACTGAAAGGGCAGGCACATACTTTAAATTTTCTGCCTCTGGGATTATCTTTTCTCCCTGTTTCTGAGCTTTGTCATTTTGTATATATCCAGTTTAGCGTTTGACCAAGTCTGTCACCCACTAACCATTTGGATATATAGTGTTCAAAATGACTAGATTAAAAGTCTAGGCACCAAGCAACTATTTTCATTGCCAGATTTTTAAATTTTCTGGTTTGTTGGGCAGTAAAGATGGAGGCACTTTCCAAGAGTTTTCTAGCTTCCTAATATGTGACCCTGAGAAGGCATAAAAGGTCAGATGAGATACACTTTCACATACTGTAGAGGACTTTAATTTCCCCCTCCCCAGTTAATCCTGTTCCTCAGAATATTTAGTATTGGCAGTTCATAACTTTTAAATTCTAATCTATCATAATAGAAAGCCAAGAAGTACCAAAATTAAATATGTCTACCTAAAGATACAGGGATAGTAAAAATCAATGAATATAGTATTTTCTATAATGAGAATCTTTTTTTTAAGATTTTATTTGTTTATTCATGAGAGAGACAGGCAGAGACCTAGGCAGGAGGCAGGCTCTCTGCAGGAGCTCAATGTGGGACTCGATCCTGGGACCCCAGGATCATGCCCCGAGTCAAAGGCAGATGTTCAACCGCTGAGCCACTCAAGGCATTCTTATTCGATGAGAATCTTGATTCAGTCTTGTAATGAGTGCTATCTACCAAAGCCATTTTAAATATAGATAGATAAATAGATGGATAGACTTTTCTCTCCATTGTATTTCATTTTTATTGATGAAATTTTAAATACATACTCTAATTTTATAGTTTTTATTTAACATAATTTCTCACATGTATGAAAGATTTTCTAATTCTCATTATAAAAAGTTATATAGCTTGTACACTACTACTGAGAGCTTTAAAATAAAATTAGATTCTCTGCGAGGGTATTTAATTTCTCCAATGTTATCATGTAAATGAATGTATTCTTTTCAAGCTTTGTCTATCATACTCTCTTTATTGATGGAATCACTTACCTATGTGCTACAGACAATGCCTTGGATACCATAACACCATCTGCATTTCTTACAAACGTAAGTAATTTCTTATACTACTTTAAGGACTTTTTCAATTATTTAAAGTATGAGGTCTTTGTTTTATAGTATGTTAGTAATAGTGTCACTAACCAAAAGCAGATCACTTATTTGTCTATAAAAGAGAGCTAATTAATGACCTTCAGAGATTTCTCCTTTTTTTTTGACCTTCAGAGATTTCTTACACCTATTCTTCATCTGCCGTTTCCACACTTCTCCCGACCCTAAAGCAACGTCTGCAAAAGTCTACCTCACAGATCTATTAGACTCTCTCTTTGTATTTATTTTATTCTTTAAAAATAAGAGAAATTAAACTTTACTAATACTTAATATACCTTTTCAATAGCATGTATATTTAATTTACAAATGGGGTGCCTGGGTGGCTCAGTTGGTTAAGCATCCAACTCTCGATTTTGGCAGGTCATGATCGCAGGATCATGGGATCCCTATATCAAGCTCCCCACCCAGCAGGGAGTCTGCTTGGGATTCTCTCTCTGCCTCTTTCCCGTTTGTGCATGCTCGCTCTCGCTCTCTCTCCCTCCCTAAATAAATATTTTTTAGGATAAATAACAAATAAATAAATAAAAATCACTAATGGAAAAATTAGTCAGCAATGCTATATAGTTACTAACAGTTATTCTCCAGTCATATTCATGAATCATGCATATATCTTGTTAGTGAACTGTCTTGCTTTAACAAAGCTCAAACTGTAACCAGATATAGAATCAAGGATTATAAGGACTAATATTGTAATTCACTCTTCAGATACACCTTGATAATTGCTAGAGTCTAGATGGTAAACACTGTTAGCAATTTAAGTGACTATCCTCTAATTTTTTTCTCCTTCTGCTATTATGAGAAAACATCCCAACTTTACCGTCTTTCCAAAACCAGATGATACCAAACTGCCAACCACATAAATTTTACCACTGTTTCTGGGGAATACAATATTGAGTACAAACAACTGCAAGAATTCCTTCTTGAGACTTTGAAATGTCCTATAACAACCATAAGCCTTTGAAAGATAGTATCATGACATTTAGTTGGGATTGTTTAATTATCACTGAATGGATTTTGAGGGGAGGAGCAGGAGGGCAAAATAAGAAACACTTATTTTAGAAAATATCATGGAATCCCATCTTTCTTTGTCTGCCAGAGGTGAGCATCTGCTCTTCCCCTCAAGCCCTCAGGCATACAAAAGACTCAAAGTGGTATCTGTGGTCTCTCTGTATGAGGTTGTGATCTGTACTATAGCAGTGGAGAAGACTGGGAAGGCACAGTTTTCATAAATACTGCACCTTTGATTAGAAAGGACACCCTGCCACTGAAAAGCTAGAAATAGTGTGGAAATGGAATATTCTTTTATTTCACATTTCTGCCAGACTTTGCTTCAAATAAGCATTTGCTCTGTAATTCTCCAGTTGAAATTATCTATGTAGGTTAAATATTTCTATTAATGTCCCCAGGTTAGTGATACTTTTCTGAGAAATCCTTTGATGTCGCAAGAACATTTTTCTCCTTCAAATGCCGTTGCTGCAGATTTTCAACAAGTATTAGGAAAGTATATGGTATGTAACCTCCAACTGTACTCCTCAGCATTATATTATAGCTGAGAAAATAGTTTGGAGTTAGGAGATAAGAGCTATAAAGATGAGTGAGAACTGAGAACTTCTACCTTTATATAATGATAAGGAATGATATCCTCAATATATTGATCAGTGAATAAAACAAGATAGAGAAAGTATGTATGGCATACTATTATTTGTTTACCATTCTTATTTGCAACCATTTAAGAAAGAGGGAATAAATACAAATATATGGATTTGTTTGTTACAGTAAAAAAAAAAAAAAAAAGAGAGAGTGAGAGAGGGGTCAAAAAAAAGTATAAGCCAAAAACATTTTAATCATTGCCTATGTAGGGATGGGGGACAGGAATAGAAACTAGGCCTCCCTGAATGAAACTTGTTTTGCAGATTTGACTTTGGAACCATGTAAGTATTTTATATAATCATAAAATACTATTACATTAAATATATTTTTTAAAGATTTTATTTATTTATTCATGAGAGACACAGAGATAGAGAGGCAGAGACACAGGCAGAGGGAGAAGCAGGCTCCACGCAGGGAGCCTGACACAGGACTCGATCCCGGGACTCCCAAGATCACGCCCTGGACCAAAGGCAGGTGCCAAACCACTGAGCCACTCAGGGATCCCCTATTACATTAAATATTTAAAAATAGTCCCTAGAGTGAAATAAGACAATCATAAGAGGACAAATACTATGTGATTCTACTTATATGAAATACCTAACGTAGTGAGATTTATAGAGGCAAAAAGTAGAATGATTGTTGCCAGAGCCTGGGGGAAAGGGATGAAGAGGAATTAGTATTTAATGGATACAGAGTTTCAGTCTGGGAACATGGAAAAAGTTCTGGAGATGGTGGTGGTGATAATTGCACAACAATGTGAATATATTTAATGCCACTGAGCTATACAGTTAAAAATCTATACAATTACAATTATAAATTTTGCTATATATATTTTACCATAATAATTTTTTTAATTTTAAAAAGTAATACCTAAAACTCAAAAAAAAAGAACCTTATTGTGTATCAGGTTGATGGCTTAAAAACAGAAAAATTTATTTCAAGCAACTTTAAAACACAATAATTTGGGGCAGCCCCGGTGGCGCAGCAGTTTAGCGCCGCCTGCAGCCTGCGGCATGATCCTGGAGTCTGGGGATCGAGTCCCACGTCGGGCTCCCTGCATGGAGCCTGCTTCTCCCTCTGCCTGTGTCTCTGCCACTCTCTTTCTCTCTCTCTCTCTCTCTCTCTCTCTGCATCTCTATAAATAAAATCTTTTTTAAAATTTTTTTTAAAAATAAAATAAAACGCAATAATTTGATTGTATATTCCTAGTGAGATTATACCTTAATAACAAAAGAACTAAAAATAAATCTTAAAGTATTTCTTTTCAAGTGTCACATTGGTATTACTATTCTAAAATTGGTTTATATAGATATGTTACTTTCAGTAATAAAGTTAATGTCATTAGGAATCAAGATATTCAGCAAGAGTTACAAATATAAAGTCAAAGAATTAAGTAAAACCTTATCCTAAATTTTAATTGAAAATTAGTATTTTTTTTAAGATTTTATTTATTTATTCATGGCAGACAGAGAGAGAGAGAGGCAGAGACACAGGCAGAGGGAAAAACAGGCTCCATGCAGGGAGCCTGATGTGGGACTTGATCCCGGGCCTCCAGGATCACACCCCAGGCTGACGGCAGCGCTAAACCTCTGGGCCACCAGGGCTGCCCAAAAATTAGTATTTTTAAAAGAAAACCAAATTTGAAATTTTTAATTGAAAATGGAATATCGAAAGTTTTTTCTTTTTAAATAAAAAGATTTTATTTTTAAGTAATCTCTACACTCGACATGGGTCTCAAACTCATGGCCCCAATATCAAGAGTTGCATGCTCCATCACTGAGCCAGCCAGGTGCCCCCAAAATTTTTTCATTGAAAATACATCACATGATGTATTTTCTCTTTTAAAAAAAATCTATTTTCTAGCCTATTGAAAACCATTAGAAATAATGAGCAACCCAGAAGCAATGTGCCCCTTTAGCATCTAGATTATTGTCTCTAAATACCATTTTACACTAAAAGGAACCAGGCCTGATTGCAGGAATCAGGCAGGAAATGTATAAACCAGAAGCATTTTGTCATACCAGAAGCAACGAAGCTTCAAAGTTCACTGTGCTCATGTCAAAAAACTTAGGAGGGATCCCTGGATGGCACAGCGGTTTAGCGCCTGCCCCGCAGGCCGGCCGCGCGGGGCCGCGTCCCAACAGCATTGGCCCAGGGCGCGATCCTGGAGACCCGGGATCGAATCCCACGTCGGGCTCCCGGTGCATGGAGCCTGCTTCTCCCTCTGCCTATGTCTCTGCCTCTCTCTCTCTCTCTCTCTCTCTCTCTCTCTCTCTCTGTGACTATCATAAATAAATAAAAATTAAAAAAAAAAAGACTTAGGAGCTAATTTGAAGAGGCTAACACTAGTCAGTAATAGAATAACTTGAGCATCAAAAAGAGTAATAACTGCAGTGGATTGTAGCACATCAAATGTGTTAAATTCCTTGAGTTTCAAGATACTATCAAAGACAAAATAATCCCTCATCAGTCAACTCTGGAAGATACTGAAGATCTACCTCATCATTCCGAAAACCAATAAATAAAAGACTCAACCATTTTTTCTGACTTTCCTATATGAACTATACCTCAAAGAAAACAAGTAATTGACTAGGGAAAAGGTTTTTCTTTTGGTCTTTATAGAAGTATTCTAGCTTTCATAAACAAAGAAGAGGTGATAAATTTCACTATTTTATAATCCCTGATGAAATAATGGATCTAGGCAGTCATCATTGATGACTGAAAAAAATTAGGTGTGGGATGCCTGGGTGGCTCAGTGGTTGTGTGCCTGCCTTTGGCTCAGGTCATGATCCCAAGATCCAGGATTGAGTCCCGCATCAGGCTCCCCATGAGAATCCTGCTTCTCCCTCTGCCTATGTCTCTGCCTCTCTCTCTCAGTCTGTGTCTCTCATGAATAAGTAAATAAATCTTAAAAAAAAAAATTAGGTGAAAAGCTGATGAGGAACTTCATAACAGATTAAATGGGCTCAAAACACCTAAACCCATTTATTCCTAAATTCACAATAAGGGGTGATTGATCATTAATTATGTTTCTTAATATTACACAATCAGTGGTATACAGCACACATCTGCAGTATGCTTGCCCAAAACATCAAACTTGAATATGAGCAAGCCTTTATATCTACCAGTTTATAGGAAATAGATCAGTGACTGCATTAAATGATCCCACAGCAACACAATCAGCAAAATCCAGAATATAAGAAAATCTACAAGGGAGATAATCCAATTTCTTCAGCAAATAAATTGCAACAGGAAGAAAGTTAAAGAGAAGTCATAGATTAAAAGAGATTTACACATATCAACTAAAGTGTTGTATTCTGATCAACAAATATTTTTTAAAAAAACTGATTTTTTTAATAAATTTGTACACAAACTGTTGATGATATTAAGGAATCTATGTAGATGTAATAATGTTGTCTTATTTTTAAGAAAATTCAGGTCATATCTTTTAGAGATACAAACTGAAGCATTTACAGATTAAAATGATGTAATGTGTGGGATTTGCTTTGAAATAATATATTTGGGGAAGGGGTAATCAGTAGTACAATTGAAACAAGATTGACCATGTGTTGATACTAGGTGATGGATACATAGAGATTGATTATACTGTTCATTCTACATTTGTATATGTTTGAACTTTTCCATAATAAAATATTCTAAGTATACCTGTTTTAGTTTTCCATCTCTAGATCTAACAAATTCTACAAATCAGCAGCCTAAAACAGCACACACTTATCTCATAGTTCGTATGGGGCAGGAATCTAGGCCCCACTTAACAGGTTCTCTTCTCAGAGTCTCAGAAAACTCCACGGCGAGTGTCCTCAGCGAGGCTGTGTTCTCATCCAGAAGATCTGGGGAAGATTCTGCTTCCAGGCTCATTCAGAGCCCGTTGCAGAATTCATTTCCCTAGAGCTGTGCCAGGGTTGCAGCTTTTTGCTGGCTGTTGGCCAGGGGACATCCTCAAGTCCTAGAAACTGAGAACAGTGCCTTGACATTTTGCCATTCTCAGTATGGTCACTTGCTTCTCAAGGCCAGCAGAAGGCATCTCCCTACTCCAGTTTACTAAGTATTATTATAATGTGACACGATCACAGGAGTGACATCCCATCACCTTTGCAGTTAGTTGGAAGCAAGTCATACTTGGTTGGGTGGGGGTTGGGGGGTGACAAGGATGTGACGCATTGGGCAGTCACCATAGGACACCACAATGCCTGAAAAATAATTAAGGATAGATGCTTTTATATTAAATTCATACATTTTCTTACGAATTCTGCATATTCAGTATAGCCAAAATATATTAGTGATATAGCTCCTTGAAAACTAGTTACCATGAGAAAATATGCACATTTTAAGCAGTTAACACATCTGACATCAAAGAAATTTCTGTTTAACATTTATAAACTAATCCAGTAAGCATTAAATATGTAGAAAATTTTATAAAAGTTGTTGAATTTCTTACACAATAGTTAACAAAAAAAATACTTTTGAGAGATTTAAATATATATGTGTGTGTTTGTGTGTGTATAGAAGCTGAATGTCAATGAACTATGAATACATTATCTTAGCAAAACTTAAATGATTCCTTTAGGTTAAAAAAAACTAAGCATTTTTTAAAAGGACAGAAAGAGAAATAAAGGAACAAAAAGAAAAATTAAAACCATTCATCTTAACCTGATTATATCTGCAAAGACCTTATTTCCAGATAAGGTCACATTCACGGGTATCTGATGTTAGGAATTGAACATATCTTTCTGAGGGGAACACAATTCACCTAGCAAACTCCTCTTTCTACATTTACCCAATGAGCTCCTAGCAGAACAATTGTAAGTTGTTTTTTTTTTTTTAAAGATTTTATTTATTTATTCATAGACACAGAGAGAGAGAGAGGCAGAAACACAGACAGAGGGAGAAGCAGGCTCCATGCAGGGAGCCTGACGTGGGACTCGATCCCGGGTCTCCAGGATCACGCCCCGGGCTGCAGGCGGCGCCAAACCACTGTGCCACCGGGGCTGCCCAGCAATTGTAAGTTGTACGGGCCCATAACCAGCAAGATCAGAGTTCTGTTTAAGGTGGATTTAAGGGGCACCTGGGTGGCTCAGTCAATTGAACATCTGCCTTTGGCTCAGGTCATGATCCCAGGATTCTGGGATCAAGCCCCACATCGGGCTCCCTACCCAGCGGGGAGTCTGCTTCTCCCCGTCTCCCCTCTGCTCCTACTCTCTATCTCTCCCTTTCAAATAAATCATATCTTTTTAAAAAGTACTTTATATAGTGGTTTGGGAATTAAATGAGTTAATATGTGTGAAGTGCTTAAAACAGTACCTGACACATGCTAAGTGTTCAATAAGTTATTATTTAATATGGTTCTGCAACTGCGGCTTACTTTTTTTTTTTTTTTTGCGGCTTACTTTTTTAACATAACACTATTGTAGAGATCGTTTTTGTTAATACAGATAAAATAGAAGACAAAAATAGGAACAAAGGACAAGAACAATAAATGGAAAACAGTAACAAATATGGTAGATATTAGATCAACTATATCAATAATTACTTTAAAATTTAGTGATCTAAGTTAAGAGACAGATTGTCGGGTTGGATAAAAAAACTGTCAAGAGAATGAGAAGACAAGTCACAGACTGGGGAAAAAATATTTACAAAAGACACATTATCGGGACTCCAGGATGGCTCAGTTGGTTAAACATCTGCCTTCGGCTCCAGTAATGATCCCAGGGTCCTGGGATCAAGCCCTGTGTTGAGCTCCCGGCTCAGCAATGAGTCTGCTTCTCCCTCTCCCCCTGTTCATGCTCACTCACTCTTTCTCTCTCACTTGCTCATTCTCTCTCCAATAAATAAAATCTTTTTTAAAGAGACATCTGTTACCCAGAATACACAAAGAACTCTGAAAACTCAACAATAAGATGATAACCTGATTAAAAATTGGGCCAAAGGAGCACCTGGCTGGCTCAGTAGGTGGGTCATGTGACTCTTGATCTTAGGGTTGTGGTTTTGAGCCCCATATTGGATGTAGAGATTACTTTAAAAAAATAGTCTCTTTAAAAAATGAGCCAGTAATAAATAAATAAATAAAAATAAAAATAAATAAAAAAAAATAAAAAATGAGCCAGTGACCTGAGTAGATGCCTCACCAAAGATCTACAAGTGGCAAACAAACATGAAAAGATGCTCAACATCATACATCATTAGGGAATTGCAAATTAAACCAACAATAAAATACTCCTACACACCTATTAGAAGGACCAAAATTCAAAACACTGGCAACACCTAATACTGACAAGGAGGTGGCAAAATAGTAACTCATACTCACTGCTGATGGGAATGCATAATGGTACAGTCGCTTTGGAAGACAGTTTGGCAGTCTCTTACAAAACTAAACATATTCTTACCATACAATCCAGCAATCACCAATCCTTGGTGTTTAAGTAAGTTGAAAAATTACGTCCACACAAAAATCTGTATTCAAGTATTATAGCAGCTTTATTAATAATTGCCAAAACATGGAAGCAACCAAAATGTCTTTCCATAGGTAAATGGATAAACTTGTGCTACATCCAAACAACTGACTATGATTCAACACTAAAAAGAAATGAGCAATCAAGCCCTGAAAAGATATGGGAGAATCTTAAGTGCATATCACTAAGTGAAAGAAGCCAATATGAAAAGGCTACTTGATTCCAACTATATGACATTCTGGAAAAAACAAAGCTATGGTGACAGTAAAAAGAGCAATTGCTGCCAGGGCTTAGGTGCATGAATCAATGGAGCACAAAGGATTTTAACGCCAGTAAAACTGTTCTGTATGATACTATCCTGGTGGATACATGTCATACATTGACCAAACTCTAATGTAAACTATGGGCTTTGGGTAATGCTGTGTCCATGTAGGATCATCCATTGGAGCAAATGTACCACTCTGGCATGGGATGTTGATAGAAATCTGGGGGGTGAAGGAGGTGGAGGGGATAAGGGTATGTGAGAACTCTATACTTTACACTCAATTTTATTGTGATCCTAAAATTTCTCTTTAAAAATCTATGTATATAAATAAACAACTTAAATTTTTTAAAAAAAAGACTTCCACCACTGATTGAATACATTGAAATATTGCTCTCCCGTCCACCTCTTCCCTTTTCTTAGCAAGATTAAGGTGGGACAATCTGAAGCTTAGTTGATTCCTTATGCTGAAAAACAAGTGAAATGTACCTTTGATACTTTTGTTCAATTTGTACAACATATTATAGATTTTAATTATAGAAAATATTATTTATATTATATTTCATTTCTATATAGATGAAATACAATAAAAATCAAGATGGTAGCTCAATATCTACATTGAAGAGTCAAGTAACTGATGTAAAAAATATTATGTCCCAAAATATTGATGAAATTTTGGAAAGCAAAAAAAGACTGAATATCTACACTGATAGGACCGGTTATCTCCAAACAACTGTAAGTGATGCTCTCTTGTCTTGGTATCTAAATAGTGTTCTAAGCCTTGAGACAAATGGCTAAAAGCAAATGCATTCCAGGGATACTGTGAGATAATCCTATGTTTCCAAAATATGGCTTTATCAAAAAATTATTAGAATGCAACTAAAGTATTTTTTTAATTATAAAACAATGAAAATTTTAAAACCCATTAAAGTAGTAGGTGGCTATTTGCATAATATATATTTCTTACATTAATAAATACACAGGTTAATCAACAAATAAATTTCAAGGACCAAAAAAAGGAGGGAGAACTAACCAAAAAATGGGTTGAGAAAGTTACCAACTGCAATGTGTGGGCCTTATTTGGAATTTAATTCAAAAAATTTATAACTTCATGAGATAATTAGATGTTTGAACTCCGACTGGATATTAGATGACATTAAGGAATATTACTAGTTTTTAACTGTGATAATGGTACTGTGGTTATGCTTTAAAAAGAGTCATTACTTATTAGAGATACATATTAAAATATTTTGAGTCAGTTTATATGATGTCTGAGATTAGCTTCAGAATAATTCAGGAATAGAATGGGGTATAAATGAAACAAAATTGGCCATAAATTGATAACTGTTAAAACTGGATGTTGAAGGTGCCTGGGTGGCTCAGTTGGTTGAGCATTTGCCTTCAGCTCAGGTCATGATCCAGGAGTCCTGGGATTGAGCCCTGTGTCAGGCTGTCTACTCAACAGGGAATCTGCTCCTCCTTCTCCCTCTGTCCCCCCACCCAGCTCATGCACTCTCTCACTCTCAAACAAATAAATAAAATATTCAAAAACCCAGATATTGGGCAGCCCAGGTTGTCTCAGCGGTTTAGCGCCGCTTTCAGCCCAGTGCGTGATCCAGGAGACCCGGGATTGAGTCCCACATCAGGCTCTCTGCATGGAGCCTGCTCCTCCCTCTGCCTGTGTCTGTTCCTCTGTGTGTGTGTGTGTGTGTGTGTGTGTGTGTGTGTCTCATGAATAAATAAATAAAATCTTAAAAAATAATAAATAATAAATAATAAAAACCCAGATATTTGGGCACCCGGGTGCTAGGTGGTTGAGCATCTGCTTTGGCTCAGGTCATGATCCCAGGATCCTGGGATCAGGTCCCAAATCAGGCTCCCAACAGGGAGCCTGCTTCTTTCTCTGCCTGTGTCTCTGCCTCTCTGTGTCTCTCATGAATAAATAAATAAAATCTTTTTTTAAAAAAATGGATGTTGAATATATAAGGGGTTCATTATCCCATTCTGTCAACTTCTGTATATATTCAAAATTCTCTCAATCAGTAATAGTTAATTACCTTAGGGCATTTTAAATTTTATTTTTTACAGATTTTTTTTCTAGAATACCTTCTAGTTCCATCCACATCACTGCCAATGGCAAGATTTCCAATTTTTGATGGCTGCGTAGTATTCCACTGTGTGTGTGTGTGTGTGTGTGTGTGTGTGTGTGTGTGTATCATCTTTATCCATTCATCTATCAACAAACATCTGGGCTCTCTCCATAGTTTGGGTATTATGAACATTGCTACTATAAACATTGGGGTGCTGGTGCCCCTTTGGATCACTACATTTGTATCTTTCCGTTAAGTACCCAGTAGTGCAAATTTTGGGTCATAGGGTAGCTCTATTTTCAACTTTTTCAGGAACCTCCATACTGTTTTCCAGAGTGGTGGCACCAGCTTGCATTCCCACCAACAGTATAGGAGACGTCCCCCTTCTCCACACCCTCACCAACATCTGTCGTTTCCTGACTTGCTCACTTTTGCCATTCTGACTGGTGTGAGGTGGTATCTCAGTGTAGTTTTGGTTTATATTTCCCTGAGTGATGTTGAGCATTAAAAAAAATGTGTGTGTCTATTGGACATTTGTATGTCTTCTTTGGAGAAATGTCTGTTCATGTCTTCTGCCCATTTCTTGATTGGATTATTTTTTCTTTCCATGTTGAGTTTTATAAATTCTTTATAGATCTTGGATACTAGCCCTTTATCTGATCTGTCATTTGCAAATATCTTCTCCCATTTTGTTGGTTATCTTTTGGTTTTGTCGACTGTTTCCTTTGCTGTGCAAAAGCTTTTTATCTTGATGAAGTCCCAATAATTTATTTCTGCCTTTTGTTTCCCTTGCCTTTGTAGACATACCTAGCAAGAAGCTGATGCAGCCAAGGTCACAGAGGTTGCTGCCTGTGGTCTCCTCTAGGATTTTGATGGATTCCTGTCTCACATTTAGATCTTTCATTATTTTTTAGTGTATTTTTGTGTATGATGTAGGAAATGATCTAGTTTCATTCTTCTTCATGTGGCTATCCAATTTTGCCAACACTATTTGTTGAAGAAACTGGGTTTTTTTTTCCCCATTGGATATTCTTTCCTATTTTGTCAAAGATAAGTTGACCATAGAGTTAGGGGTCCATTTCTGGGTTCCCTTTTCTGTTGCTTTGATCTATGTGTCTATTTTTGTGCCAGTACCATACTGTCTTGATGATTACAGCTTTGTAATAGAGCTTGAAGTCCAGTTTTGTTTTTTTCAACATTCCTTTGGCTATTCAGGGTCTTTTCTGGTTCCATACAAATTTTAGGATTATTTGGGATGTCTGGGTGACTCAGCAGTTGAGCGGCTGCCTTTCACTCAGGTAGTGATCTCAGGGCTCTGGGATCGAGTCCCACATCGGGCTCCCCACAGGGAGTCTGCTTCTCCTTCTGCCTGTGTCTCTGCCTCTCTTTGTGTCTTTCATGAATAAATAAAATCTTTTTAAAAAATTAGGATTATTTGTTTCAGCTCTGTGAAAAAAGTTGATGGTATTTTGATAGAGATTGCTAATTTTTTCACTTTTAGAAACAATTTATTAAGATATTACTTACATAAAATAATATTCACCCACTTTGTAGACTTTGATAAATTGTGGTACTTGTGTACAATTGTGTAACCACAATCAGGTTATAGAATAGCTCTGTCATTTTTTTTAATATTTTTTATTTATTTAATAGAAAGAGAGCACAAGCAGGGAGAACAACAGAAGGAGAGGGAGAAGTAGGCTCCCCCACTGAGCAAGGAACCTGATGTGGGGCTCAATCCCAGGACCCTGAGATCATGACCTGAGCTGAAGGCAGACGCTTAACCAACTGAGCCACCCAGGCACCCCTAGCTCTTTGATCTTAAAATTTTTCTCATGCCCTTTGCAGTTAACTCTTCCCTCATTCCCGGCCCCAGCCCACCACTGATCTGTTTTCTGTCCCTATGCTGTTGTCTTTTCTACTTTTGGCAATAAACTTTCCTAAGTTTGTTGGAAATGGTCCTTTCCCCATTATATATTCATGCCTCCATTATCGTAGATTAATTGACCATATAACTGTGGGTTTATTTCTGGGTTCTCTATTCTGTTCTATTGATCCATGTGTCTGTTTTTGTGCGAATACCATACTTTTTTGAATATTATAACTTATATGTGGAATCTAAAAAATAAAACAAATGAACAAACAAAACAGAAACAGACTCATAAATACAAAGAACAGACTGGTTGTTGCCAGAGAGGAGGGTTTGGGAAGAATGAGCAAAATAGATGAAAGGGAGGGGTGCCTGGGTGTCTCATTTGGTTAAGCATCTGCCTTCAGCTCAGGTCATGATCCCAGGGTCCTGGGATTGAGCCCACATCAGGTTCCTTGCTCCTTGGGGGAGCCTGCTTCTCCCTCTCCTTCTGTTGTTCTCCCTGCTTGTGCTCTCTCTTTCTGTTAAATAAATAAAAAATCTTTAAAAAAATGACAGAGCTATTCTATAACCTTGGCTTTTGCTCAGATCATGATCTCAGGGTCATAAGATCAAGCCCCTATAAAGGGCTCACGCTCAGTGTGGAGTCTGCTTGAGATTCTTTCCCTCTCCCTATCCCTCCCCTTCTGTTCCACTCCTGCTCTCTCTCTCTCTCTCAAATTAATTAATTAATTGATTGATTGATTAATAAGATCATTTTAAAAATAGGTGAGGGATTAAGAGGTACAAACTTTCACTTATAAAATGAATCACAGAGGGGTACCTAGGTAGCTCAGTCAATTAAGCATCTGACTCTTGATTTTGGCTCAGGTCGTGATATCAGAGTTGTGAGATGGAGCCCCCAGTCAGGTCCATGCTGGGCATAGAATCTGTTTAAGATTCTTTCTCCCTGGGCAGGTTTAGTGCCTTCAGCCCAGGGCGTGATCCTGGAGACCTGGGATTGAGTCCCACTTCAGGCTTCCTGCATGGAGCCTGCTTCTCCCTCTGCCTGTGTCTCTGCCTCTCTCTCTCTCTCTCTCTGTCTCTCATTAATAAATAAATAAAATCTTTAAAAAAAACAAAAAGATTTTCTCCCACCCTATCCCTCTCACCTCCCTCCTTCTAAAGAAAAAAATCACAGAGATGAAAAGTATAGCATAGGGAATACAGTCAATATTGTAATGATGTTTCATGGTTATTGGTGGTGGCTACACTTATGGTGAGTATTAAATAATGTACACCATTGTAATATCACCATGTTGTACACCTGAAACTAATATAACACTGCATGTCAACTATCCTTCAATAATAAAAAATTAATAAGATAAAGTAAAATGTGAGTATTATATATACCCTTCATTATTTTTTAATATTTATTTATTTATTTTTAGAGAGAGAGAGTGCATTCAAGAGAGCAGGGGAAAGGGCAGAGGGAGAGAAGTCTCAAGCAGACTCTCAACTGAGAGCCTGACTTGGGGCACAAGCTCACAGCCTTGGGAAAATGACCTGTGCCAAAAATCAAGAGTTAGATGCTTAACTGATGGAACCACCCGGCCACCCCTATCTATAGTCTTCTTAAACCCTCCCATCATGCACCTTTGACCACACAGGGTAGAGTCCAACCCCCCTAACATAAGGAGCTTCTTCTGACTATATTTTTGGTCATATCACCAAGAGACCAATCTTGCAATTTATAAATTTCAAAAAATAAAAAACTATTTGTAGGTCTCCAAAATACGTGTTGCATTATTTTACACCTTAATACATGCTGTCCCTTTTTCCTTGCCCTAAAAACTTCTACTCACTTGTCAAAACCCAAATCAAGGGTCATCTCCTCATTGCCCAGATTGGGTTTATCACTCTCTTATCTCTGCCATCCCTGCAACTTTTATTGATTGATTTATTCAAAAAATATCTTTTGAGGATTTGCTGTCTGCCAGGCTCTATATGAAGAATTAAGAATATTTTTTAAAGATTTTATTTATTTGACAGAGAAACCACACATACAGGGGGAGAGGGAGAAGCAGCCTCCCCAAGGAGCCCAATGTGGGGCTCCATCTCAGAACCCCAGGATCATGACCTGAGCTGAAGGCAGACATTTGACCAACTGATCCACCAAGGCACCCCTGAAGAATTAAGAATATAATGATGAGGGGTGCCTCAGTGGCTCAGTTGGTTGAGCCACTGCCTTTGGCTCAGATCATGATCCCATGGTCCTGGGATCGAGCCCAATGTCGGGCTCCCTGCGCAGCCTAGAGCCTGCTTCTCCCTCTCCCACTGCCTGCTGCTCCCTCTGCTTGTGTACTTTCTCTCTCTCTCTCTCTCTCTCTCTCTCTCTCTGTCAAATAGATAAATAAATAAAAATTTTAAAAAAGATTATAATGATGAGTAGTTATTTACAACCCTAGCAAATAAGCCCTCAGTGTTAGTTAAATTAATACTATTTATTTGAGCAAAGCACCCTCTACATCATTTTTATAGCAGGAAAAAGATAAGGTCACATTCGTTTATATAACCTATAAAGGAGAATTAATAAAGTAAATCATTATCTAAGATTGTATTCATATTTTATGAAAGTTATAACTCAAGAACTCAGATAATATTGTCCAAGCCATTTAGATTCATTCAAAATTCATTAGTAAATGTTCTTCAGGGGCCATTATAATGTACAAAATACTATGTTGGTCATCTTTAGAAATAAAAGAATAAAATGAGATGTGTGCCACAGTTTAATCTACTGCAGAAGACAGATTTGTATAAATTAACTGCAGTATTAAGTGTGGGCTAAGTGTCACAATAGGTGGATAAAGGATAACAGTCAAACAATGGAGAACTGACAGGATTACATTCTTACAAAGCACTTTGAAATGGCAGTCATAAAATTCTGCAATCAGTATTACCTCATTCTGTTATATTAGGAAGCATGTATGGGGCACCTGGCTGGCTCAGTCAGAAGAGCATATGGCTCTTGATCTCCAGGTCATGAGTTTGAGCCCCACACTGGGTGTAGAGATTACTTAAATAAATTTTTTTAAATAAAAATTTTTTTCATTTTTTTTATTTTAATTTATGATAGTCACAGAGACAGAGAGGCAGAGACACAGGCAGAGGGAGAAGCAGGCTCCATGCATCGGGAGCCCGACGTGGGATTCGATCCCGGGTCTCCAGGATCGCGCCCTGGGCCAAAGGCAGGTGCCAAACCGCTGTGCCACCCAGGGATCCCAAATAAAAATTTTTTTAAAAGGAAGCATTTGCTACATGATCAGAGGCCATAGTTGGGAATCAAAACTATTTTATTATAAACATTCATTTCGGGGCAGCCTGGGTAGCTCAGCAGTTTAGCGCTGCCTTCAGTCCAGGGCCTGATCCAGGAGACCCGGGATCAAGTCCCACGTCAGGCTCCCTGCATGCAGTCAGCTTCTCCCTCTGCCTGTGTCTCTGCCTCTCTCTCTCTCTCTCTCTCTCTCTCTCTCTCTCTCTCTGTGTGTCTCTCATGAATAAATAAATAAAAATCTTTAAAAAATTCACTTCAAGCACATGAAAAAACTTTCAGAATAATATACCTAATGCCCCTGTAATCATCAGCCTACTTTATCTAACCTAATATTTTGCCATATTTTATCAGGGCCTTTGTTTTTAAAAGAAATAAATTAAACATATAATTAAAATTTCTGTGTACCTTTCCTAAGCCCATTCTAATCTCCCACACCAGAACCACTATCATGAATTTGATATGAATTATTTGTATGCATGCTTTAATTCCTCTGATATGTATCTATAGGTACATATGTATCTACATTCTTGGTTTGCATATTTAGCTTTATATCTGTTATATACACATTATAATGTACATATAATGAACTAAAACCTGAGTTTTTAGTTCAACATTTAGTTTATGAAATGTATTAATTTGAGCACATTTAGATCTAATTTACCAATTTAACTTCTGACAGCATATCATTACTATCTAAATAAACACAATGTACTTTTCTCCTTTAACAAACATTAATGTAGATTTCAACTATTATGAACAATATTGCCTTAAACACCCTTATTCATGTCTCTTGGTACACTTTTGCAAAACTGTTTTTTTTTTATTATTTTATTTATTTATTTATTTATTTATTTATTTATTTATTTATTTATTTTTAGATTTATTTTTTTATTTGACAGTGCAAGCACATGCATGAATGAGCAGGGGGAGAGACAGAGAGAGGGACAAGCTCATCACAGGGCCTGATCCTGGCCTGATTTCAGGACGCTGAGATCATGACTGAGCAGAGAAAGTCAGACACCCAACTGAGCCACCCAGGTGCCCCTGAAAAACTATTTCTAAGACAATGATCTATAGAGTTTTTTGATCTTACATACTTATTTGTAAA